AAATCCCCTATTTATTAGCTTTTGTCCTAATTCTCTTCTTCCATTCCTTGGCAACCGCTAATCTACTTTTTGTCTCTATGGATTTAACTATTCTGGACATTTGCTATAAATAGAATCATATGATATGTGGTCTTTTATGTCTGGTTTCTTTTACTTAGCATAGAATCTTCAAGGCTCATCCATGTTGAATCATATGCATTGAAGTACTGCATTCCTTTTTATGATGAATAATATTTCACTGTCTGAACAGATAACATTCTAGTCATCCATTCATTTGCCAAGGAGTATTTATGTACAATATATCTTAAATTCTCTCAGATATTCCTAGGGAGAAAATTTTTGGATTATATAAACTAATATTTTACTATACACATCTTATATCCTTAATTTATTGAAAATTGCAAACATCAGTACCAATCATCCCTAAACTCTAGTATTTACAGACTTTTGTTTCATAATATCTGCATACAGTGATTTATTATGGTACTAAGAAATGATTTTTAATATTCATATACCTGTGAAATATCAAGATATCAAAATATAGAATACTACCCCCACCTCTAGAGTTAGGCCCCTTCGAAGTCATATCTCCCCCTGCCCCACCCTCTCCAAAAGCAATCAGTCTTCTGATTTTCTCCTTCTTCTGGAATTTCATATAAATAAATCACATAAGAAAAGAAAAGATAGAGCCTGGGTGATAGTACGGTGAGCAGGGCATTTGCCTTGTACACGGCCGACCCAGGTTCAATCCCCCCGCATCCCATATGGTCCCCTAAGCACTGCCAGGAGTAATTCCTGAGTACAAAGTCAGGAGGAACCCCTGAGCATCGCTGGGTGTGACCCAAAAGCAAAAAGGAAAAAAGAAAAAAAAAACAAAGAAAGGAGAAAAAAGGAAAAAAGAAGAGAAAAGGAAAAAACAAAGGAAAAAAGAAAAGGAAAGGAAAAGTAAAGAAAAGAAAAGAAAAGAAAAGAAAAGAAAAGAAAAGAAAAGAAAAGGTCAAATAGATAGTATAGCAGGTAAGCAGTTGCCTTTACAGCACCCAACTTGGTTCAATTCACAACACCCCAGAGACAGGAGTTCAGAGTGCAGAGACAGGAGTAACTCTTAAGAACTCCCAGGTGTGGTTCAAACATCCCTCTAAAAGAAATACAAATAAAGAATCACATGGTATGTGCTGTTTTCATCAGGTTTCTTTGACTTAGAATACTGTTTCTAAGATCCATCCCTGATACTGCATGCAGCTAGACTTCTTTTTTGCTATTGAATAATGTTCTGGCATCATCATCATTTAGTGAGTGTAGTATAGTTTACTAAGTAGATATACACCTGGACTGTTTCCAGTTTATGGCTTTTACAAAAAAAGAAAAAGAAAAGAGCATCTTCCTAGTGGCACTGATGTGAATCTGTATTTGTACTTCTCAGGTAAATGACAAAGATTACAACTGCGTCATCAGGGCGGGATCTGTTTAGCTTTATTAGAAACTGTCAGAGAGAAGGGATGAAATAGAGTGACAGGGAAGGGGGAAAGAGATAGAAGAGATAGAAGCAATGGGAGCAGGGATCATGGAGATTCAGATACATCAGTGGTGTTAAAGAATGATAGAGCTAGGGGTTGGAGTGATAGCACAGCCGGTAGGGCATTTGCCTTGCCCGCGGTTGACCCCTGTTCGATTCCCAGCATCCCACATGGTCTCCCAGCACCACCAGGAGTGATTCCTGAGTGCATGAGCCAGGAGTAACCCCTGTGCATCACTGGGTATGACCCAAAAAGAAAAAAAAATGATGGAACTAAATATCCAACATTCAACATATTCAACATATTCAAAATATTCAACAACACTGAAATCATGAGACCCAAACTTTTATAACTTCCACGGTGACCGCTAAGATGGGGGTGGGAGTTGGGGGGGGGGGGTAGAAGGGGGAACCTGGAACAGTGGTGGAGTGAAATTAACACTGGTGTCAGATCAGTGATGGAACATAGTATGCCAAAAACTCAACATTGAAATTACTTTGTAATTCATGATGTTTCAATAAAATAAAATTTGGGGAAAAAAAATTTTTTAAAAACTGCCAGATCTCGGGGCTGGTGCAATAGTACAGTGGTTAGGGCATTTGCCTTGCACATGGCCGACCCGGGTTCAATTCCCAGCACCCCCTATGGTCCCCTGAGCACAGCCAGGAGTAACTCCTGAGTGCAAAGCCAGGAGTAACCCCTGTGCATTGCTGGGTGTGACCCCCCCAAAAAAAAACCTGTCAAATCTTTTCCCAAAGTTGTACCATTTCATGTCCACAACAAACTTAAAAGTTAACACATTAAAAAAAAGAAGAAAAATACTTATTGCAAGTTTTATTAACCCTTTTTTATCTTATTTTTATCTTTCCCTTTTCCATCTCTTTGCTGTCAGCGCACCCTGGCTTGGTTGGAGTGCTGGTGTACGCAGCCCAGACACTCGCCATGATCTCACTCCCTTGGTCTGTGGTGTTCCTGCATATTCTGGGTGCCCGGCTTACCAGGGGTCATGTGGCTTACTCACATGACTACTACATGCTGGAGACTTACTCTGAACAGAGACAGGTGAGTGGCACCAGGTATTTAACCCAAAACCTTATGCTGAAAAGGCAGGTGCTTGGCCAGTGAGCTATCCTAGGTCCCCACCAACTAAGACTTCTCAAAAACATTTACTACAAATGTAGTATTTGGAGAATAAGCCAGGGGTGGAGGTGCTGGGATTTGGTTTGGGGACCACACCTACTGTTGCATGAGAAGCCATCCTGGTGAAGCTCAGGGAACCACACAGCATAGAGGATTGAAACCAGAACTCCTGGTTTGGGATTTTAAATATAGGTCTAAAATTTCCAGGCAGCATAACAGTCAAAGATCAGTTTTTCTGCCCTTCCTTTTAAATATTTCACTCATGACTGGAAGATAAGACAGTAGGTAGGGTGCTTGCCTTGTAAATAGCTGACTCAGGTTTGATTCCTGGCACTCCAAGTGGTCCCCTGAGCCCCACCAGGAGTGGACCCTGTGTGCAGAACCAGGTGTAAGCCACCACCACCACATTGCCGGTGTGACTCAAAAACAAAACATAACAAAAACTGCATGTTTAGGCAGCATCTATATTAACACTGGACCACTAGAGAGAAGATAAGAATGGTCTTTTGTAAGTATGATACGGAATGTTGTGGAATTTTGTAAATATTCATGATAAATTCTTAAACATTTTTAAAGTGGTCAAAATGTACAAGCTTCCAGTTACAGAATAAACAACCTGCACATAAGGTATGCATCATAGTGCATGTGAAAGTGAGTTAAAATAATTCTTTTTTGTTTGGTTTCCTTCTGTTTTTTGAAGTTGGGGCCACACCCAGAGGTGCTAAGAGCTTACTCCTGGCAGGGTCAGGGAACAAAATGAGGTGTTAGGGATCAAACCCAGGTCAGCCATGTGCAAGGCAAACATCCTACCTGCTGTACTATCACTCGAGCCCCAAGAGAAATTATTTTATGGGGAGGGTGGGAAGGCACACCCAGCTGCACTCAGGACTTACTCTTGGCTCTGGGCTCATGGATTACTCCTGCTGTGGCTCCAGGAACCATAAGTGATGCCAGGATCAAACCTGAGTGGGCCATACAAAAGGCAAGTGCACTACTCACTGTACCATCTCTCCAGCCCCAAATAAGGGTAATTTTTAAGTGTTCACCAAGGAGCCAGAGGTTAGTAGGGGGGTGAGGGGAAAGTCCTGAGTACTGCAGGGTGTGGCAGAAAAAAAAAACAGTTCATCCCAAGGAAAGATATTTTTGTGAGCATGTATAAAGACAAATATTAACTAGACTATGTTGATCATTCCACGATATACACAATAAATCATTGTGAAACTAATAAAGTTTATTAGTGTGTGTCGATTGGACCTCAAGAAATAATTTTTTAATTAAAAGAAAAGTACTTGAGGGCTGGAGCAGTAGCACAGCGGGTAGGGCGTTTGCCTTGCACGCGGCTGACCCGGGTTCGATTCCCAGCATCCCATATGGTCCCCTGAGCACCGCCAGGGGGTAATTCCTGAGTGCAGAACCAGGAGTAATCCCTGTGCATCAATGGGTGTGACCCAAAAAGCAAAAAATAAATAAAATAGAAAAATACTTGAAGAGTTAAACGGACCCACTCAGCTGTTAAAGTACAGTTCCGCGCCAAGAGCCGTTTTCCTATCCTGCTACTAGCTCCTGCGGCAAGAAAGGATGGCCCAGACAGTCATCCTCAAAGAATATTCTAGCTCAAGCCCCCCCCCCCCCCAACCGAGCCGTTGGCCTCTGCAGTAATTCCCAGTGCAGGCCCCACACCCCGCGGGTCCTGGTGAAATGAACCTGAGGTTTTTCTTTGTCGTTTCCAATTTGGCCACCCTCCTCGCTTCCGACAGCTCTCGCCTCCCTGTTCAGCCCCGTCTGCCTCCTTTCCCCCCATCTCCCCATCCCTCGCCTCCCGCGCCTCAGCATCACTTCCCAAACGTCAGCACCCTGGACCTCACCAGCGCAAAAGCTAAAACTGGAGGAGCTGACGCGCCTGGGAGCAGGGGTGTGTGGGGGCGTGCGGGCGTAAGTGTAAGTGTCGGTGCTTGTGTGTGGAAGGAACCAAGAGGGTCCGCGCCGGTGGCCAGCTTCTGCAAATGCCCCTCACGCCCCCCTGACCAACGGGCGCTCCACGGCCCGGTGCGCCCTCCACCCGCAGCCACATCCCACGTGGTTGAACCCGGAGGCAGCCGGGCTGCACCCCGCACCCGGGCCGGCCGGCGCGTGCATCCCGCTGGCACCGCGCACCCCCGGCCCGGCGCGGTGGTGGAGCCCGCGGCGACGTCACCCATTGTTTACAAATCAACCCGAGCCGGTCGGATTCGGGCTCCCGCGGCTGCAGGCGCGCGGCGCGAGTGTCTGGCGGGCTCCGGCTTCCGCGTCCGCCCCGGCCCCGGCCCCGGCCCCGGCCCCCGCCCCGGCCCCGGCCTCCGCGCCACGCCCGGCGCCGCCGCCGCCGCCCGCCGCCGAGCCCCGCGGGCAGCCCGGCCGCCTGCGCCGCCCGCCGAGCTGCGGGTGCCCGGGCGGGGGACCATGCCGTGCCGGAGGGAGGAAGACGAGGACGCCGGCGACGAGGCGGAGGGGGAGGAGGAGGACGACGACAGCTTCCTCCTGCTGGAGCAGTCGGTGACGCTGGGCGGCTCGGGCGACGTGGACCGGCTGGTGGCCCGGATCGGCGAGACGCTGCAGCTGGACGCGGCGCACGACGGCCCGGCGTCCCCCCGCGCGCCCCCGGGGCCTCCGCTGCAGCCCCCGCGGCCCCCGGCGGCGGCGGCGGCGGCGGCGGCGGTGCGGGTGGACAAGGCCCGGCCGGCGGCGCTGCCGTTGCTGCTGCCGCCGCCCGCGCCGGCCGAGGCGGGGGGCCCGGCGGCCGCGGGGGCCTTGCGCTGCGCCCTCGGGGATCGCGGCCGCGTGCGTGGCCGGGCTGCGCCCTACTTTGTGGCCGAGCTGCCCGCGGGCCCCGGCGCGCTGTCCACCTTGCCCCCGCAGCCCTTTCTGGAAGGGCCTCCGGGAGCCGACAAGTTGGGCGCCCTGCAGCCGCTGTCTGGCCCGTGCCGGCGAGGTTGGCTGCGGGGAGCCGCCGCCGCCTCCCGCCGCCTGCAGCAACGACGCGGACCCCAACCTTCCGAAGCCCGGACCGGCGAGGACGACCCGCACCGGCTCCTGCAGCAGCTCGTGCTCTCGGGGAACCTCATCAAGGAGGCCGTGCGGAGACTGCACTCGCGACGGCTGCGCTTCCACGCCAAGCTCCCGCAACGCCCGCTGCCCGGGCAGCAGTCGGCGGCGGCGGCGCACGAGCCCGGCGCCGAGCCCCGCAGCCCGCGCGCAGCGTGCGCTAACCCGGGCGCGCCGGGCCGCAGGGCGCAGCTCAAGACTGGCGACGGCGTGCTGGTCCCCGGCAGCTGACACCCCTGGAGGGACCACAGCGGTCCCGCTGCGACCCGCGAACTCGCTTTCGGAAGCTGGGGTTGGGGTGGGGGTAGGCGAGGATGGTGGGGGCGGGCAGGAGGGGCATGGACTGATGAAAATCAGCACCGAGGACCCTCGCCAGTGCCTCTCAAGGCCCCCGATGTGTTTGAAAACGCGGCCTCGGTCGGCGCTAGGAAAGGCGGGTCACAGCGCGCACCCCAAGACCCGGCGGCACGACTCCTCCGTTCGGTGGCGCGGCGGCTCGGGGGACCGGGCTGGACTGCCCACGCTTGCCGGGATCGCCAGCTCCCGAAGGTCGCGCACGATCCCCCCCCGCCCCTTGGATTTAACTCGCGTTTCCCTGCTCAGGGCTGGTTCCTGATGCCACTTTGCGGCGGGGAGGGAAACTTGAGTCAGACAGACAGACGGTCTTTTCAGGGAGCTCCGCAACCTGCCAGGCTTGAATTTTTACGATACTTTAAAGGAAAAGAAAAAAAAAAGAGAAAGAGAAAAAAAAATCTCGTGTCTGTTGGGGTGTTCTTAATCTAAAACATGTGTGCCATGAAAGGACCTTTTCGGGAGTTGAATAGGAGGAGTAGTAACCTTTTCTCCGCCCGACTGCGGTTTTCCAGCCGTGCGCCCGGGGTGGGGACGGGAGGCGGAGACCCGCGGGGCCGGGAAAGGTAGGGTGCGGCGCCGGGTGCACGTTGGCTCCTCGCCTACCAGTGCACGATTTTTTTTTTTAATGTGTGTATTTTTTTAAGCCGGCCTTCCTCTTCCTCCGGCTCAAGGTCGGTATTTCCGAGGCGCACACGCGGTTGCGGGGCTCCAGCAGGGCGGAAGAGTCCCGGGCTCCTTCTGGACTCGGGCAGGCGCGGTGTTTTTGCAAGTGCGGGAGTCTCCTGAGGACACGCACAGCTTTCCCCCCCACACACACACACACCCCCACCACCACCACCTCCCCCTGGGTGCTGGGGACCGGCTGGGGCGCCGGCTTTCAGGGACACGGGAGTGTCTCCGCCTCTCCCTACTCGGCTCTGTGGTCCTGCCCCCGCCCCCCACCCTGGCTGGGGAAAAGCCACGTGACGGGCCCTCCAGGGACACAGCCACGCACAGTAGCTTATAATGGGCTCTCCGGGGCCATTTACAATAACAGCTGCAATTCCCTGGACGGGTCGAGCTGATTTCCTCCCGCTCCCCCGCCCCCAGTCATGCCATGCCCGCTCGCCTTTGTAAGTTGAAGGAGACCCGAGTCGAAAATGGGACCCTCCAAATGCAGAAGCCGCAGGCTTTGCCATTGTGAACCGCTGCGTAGTGCCCGTGACGTGCCCGCTCGCTCACTCCGGAGGGATCTAACGGGCGTCTGTTCGGCGTTGGTTTTTTTATTTTCATTTTTTTTTTGGTTTGTTTTTGTTTTTGTAAAGATTCAATGGCTTGTTCATCATCCAGATGTGGCTATTGACCTATCTACACTTCGCACCGGAGTGTCTGCAATTGTGGCTGTCCTGATTTTAGGATTTTAACTTAACTGGAATAAGTTTCTAATAAATGTGTTGGGTTTGGGGTTTGGTTTTATTTCATACTTGTCGGCGATGGGAAAGATGTACAGAACACATTTCTGTGATCTCCATAAACATGAAAACACTTGAAATCCTGTCAGCCTGGCGTGCAGATGGTAATTAGAGTGCCTTTGTGTCTGCAGAGCTCACTAGTTAGACAGGGTCTGCGCGCCTGGGTGTGTATTGGTCCTGGCATGAAATTAAATGAAAGTGAGGTCAGATTTGGGCTCCATCCCATTCACCAAAACCTTAGAACCTTCCGGATTACTAGTCGGTGATGGAGGAGTTTTATGAAACGGCTGTGAATGCATTAACGACGACATAAAAGTTCAGTCTCCAGACTGGAGGCGTAGTAGTGCCTTTGCTTTTTTTTTTTTTTTTTTCCCAAGTCATGCCATGGACTGACTTGGTGAGGATGCAGCTCAGGAGGAATTTGCATCACACACAGACCCTCCGGGTGGGGCAGCTCAAGGTGCAACCCTGCCCTGGCAAAGCTGGTAGCCAGTGTCGTCCTCTCTGCCCCAAGACACCCCTGCCCATGGCCGCCCTTGCTGCTCCTTTTCCTCCCTCCATTCATGAGTGGCTTCAGCCCATTTCCTCCAAGAGCCAGGCTAGGCGACAGGACAGTGAGGGTTCAAGTCCACTTATTAAATGGGGACTTTGGACAAGTTGCTCAAACCTCTGCGAGCTTTTGTTTCCTCTTGTAGTCGGATTAGAAGTGAGAAGAGCAAAAGGGGTGAGGGTTTGGCTTACACTGGCAAGGAACCATCTAATCCCTACGGCTTCCTTCTCAGGCCCCTTCCTAGGGACCCACAAGACCAGACCCTCTGTCTCTCCCGAAGCAAGGCCATGCTTTCCAGACTGTGTTCTCTGTCATTTACAATCCTGCTTTTCTTTTTCTTTTTTTCTTCTTGTAGGGTTTCCCACGTGAGGCAAGCACTCTACCACTGAGTCACATCCCAGATTTGAGCCTGGTTTCCTAATCCCTTTATTGACTCAATCCCTGTTGTCTGTGGCTCCCCATTTTCTCTTTCAAGAACACACATAAACCCTGACAGTCTGAGAGCAGACTCCGAATCCGCCGAGCCTGCCTGCCCATACATAGCCTGCCAGAGAGGGCTCTCGGGGGCTCAGTCTGGTGCAGTCCTAGAAGGTGATGAGAAAGGTGCCAATACAAAATGAGGAAGGAGTCATCGTTTCCACACCCTGAGTAGCAAAGGACAGTGGTCTGGTACTGATTTGCCTCGGTACTGAATGGAGCAGTCCTGAGATGAGTTGGGGTGGGATATCCTGGAAGTCAAAGGATTAGGGGCGAACTGGGGCCCAATGAACCATCATTCAACGCTACTGCACCAACCCTCCTGGCTACTTGTAATAAAAAAAAAAGGTTTAGTTAGCCCAAGCATAGTACCAAGCACAGAACCAGGAGTAGCCCCTGAGCACTGTCAGGTGTGGACCTAAAACAAAACCAAACAAAAATGTTTGGTTAGTCTAGACTCAATGATAGGTTTCACGCAGTACAATCCCCTTCTTTAAAGAGTAATTGGAGGCCCAGAGAGACAGGATAGGGATTAAGGCACTTGCACACATCTGACCTCTGTTCTATATACCCAGGCCACTTAGGGTCCTTGAGCACTGCCAAGAATGACATCCTGAGCCCAGAGCCAGGAGCATGCTCTGAGCACTGCTGGGGTATGGACCAAAACCACAAAAAGAGGCCAGAGAGAAAGTGTAGCAGGTAGGGCCCTTGCCTTGTAGGTAGCCAATGGGGGTTTTATCCCCAGCACCCCATGTGGTCCCCAAGCTTGCCAGGAGTGATCCCTGAGTGCAGAGCCAGGAGGAAGCCCTGAGCAGCACTCAGTGTGACCCCCCCAAAATAAATTAAACGAACCAAAAAAGTCATTGGAGGGGACAGGGTGATGGCATCAAGAGTTTGATCCTTGATACTGCATGGTCCACCCAAGCACTGCCAGTATAGACCCTAACCCCCCAAAAGGCATCATGACACAATCACTCTATGACCATCTTTCTGAAAATCCTGCAAAGTAACTTGTTAACTCCCACTGATTTTTTTTATTAAGTCAAGGTTCACATATATTAAAAAAATAATAATAGGGGGGCTGGAGCAATAGCACAGTGGGTAGGGCATTTGCCTTGCACGCAGCCAACATGGTTGACACAGGTTCGATTCCCAGCATCCCATATGGTCCCCCGAGCACTGCCAGGAGCAATTCCTGAGTGCATGAGCCAGGAGTAACCCCTGGGCATCGCCGGGTGTGACCCAAAAAGCAAAAAAAAAAAAAAAAAAAAAAGGAAAAAAAAAATAATAATAAAAACATTTAGCCAGGGCCAAGCAATAGTACAGTGGGTAATTGCCTTGCACGTGGCCAACCCGGGTTTGACCCCTGCACTATAAGATCCCCCAGCACTACTAGGAATGATCTCCAAATGCAGAGCCAGGAGTAAGCCCTGAGCATGACCAGGTGTGGCCCAAAAAAGCAAAAGTAACTTTTTTTTTTTAAATTTAACCATTTACAGGTGAAAAAATAGTCAAGAAAGGGGAAAGGGCAGAGTATCAACCAACATGATTTTTGAAGGCCTGAGAGCAGTCACCCAGCTGCTTTCTGCTGTCTGTCCCGGGTTTCCTTCCCCATAGCCTGATGGCTATCAGACAGAGCTGAATTTGTGTATTGGGGTCACAGTGGGTGGTGCTCCCAGGGCATGTGATTCCAGGGACCAAAACTACGGGGTGGAGGGACTGGAATGATAGCAGAGCAGGTAGAGAAGAGTTCAATTCCCAGCATCCCATATGGTCCCCTGAGCACCGTCAGGAGTAATTCCTTAGTACAGAGCCAGGAGTAACCCCTGTGCAATGCCAGGTGTGACCCAAAACGAAAAAAAAAAAAAAAAACCCTAAGGGGTGGAGCTGGAGACAGTACAGCAGGTAGGGAACTTGCCTTGCACACAGCCAACCCCAGCACTCCATATGGCTCCGAGCCCTGCCAGGAACATTTCCTAACCATAGATGAGGAGTAAGCCCTGAGCATCATGGGTTTGGGTGTGGCCCCAAAACAAACAAAAGAACCCTAAGGCTCACCCACTCCATTCCTCGTGCCATCTCCCGTCCCTTATAGCTACTGTTCACTACACTTTCCACAGACTACACCGGGTCAGGAAAGGGACAGGGTGACACCCGCTGTCCTTTAACCCAGTGAGTGGCCTTGCCTTTTCGGAACTGGAAAAACCTTGACCTGCGATGCCAGGAAAGGTTATAACTATCGTTTTTTTCTTCTATTTCCACCTTTCTTTTGTCTTCTTTTCGATGGCAGGGGTTAAATCCAGGGCCATACTTATGAGAGGGAAGTGTTCTATGGTTAAACCATACCATCCGCCCTCAACAACTTGTATGGGTGTGGGGGGTATGCTCAAGGCTACTCCTGGTGGTACTTGGGGGACCTTATGTGGTGTCAGGGATCAAATCTGGGTCGGCCAT